GACCACCTTCATCTGAATCACCGCCGACCACCGCCACCTAAACCACTGCCGACCACCGCCGATCTGAACCTCCGCCGGCCCTCGCCAATCTGAACCACTATTGATCTGATCCACCATCGAACACCGCCATCTAAACCACCATGGACCACCACCGATCTAAACTACTGTCGACCATCGCCATCTGAACCACCACAGGGTACCATCGATCTGAACCACCGTCCACTGTCGACCACCGCCGATCTGAACCACCGTCAACTATTACCGATCCGAACCACCATTGACCACCTCCATTTGAACCACCGTCCATTCGAACCACCATTGACCACCTCCATTTGAACCACCGTCCATTCGAACCACCATTGACCACCTCCATTTGAACCACCGTGGACCACAATCGATTTGAACCACTGCCGATCACCACCATCTGAATCACTGTGAACCATCACCAATTTGAACCACCGTCGACCATCGTGATTTAGTAACGTCATTTGGCTTATGATTATATTTGAATTGTGTATTTTATATTGTTTTACATATTAAATAATTATTTTATTTAAATATTTTTAGTTTTAAAAAATTTAAAATTTTTAAAAAAATGGCATTTTGTTCATTTACCAATATTTCATTCAAATTCCAAAGCTACATTTTGTGAACTAAACAAACAAATTCCAATTTCTTAACAGATTCCATTCCAATGTCTATCAACTAAATAAGTGGTCAAACCTGATAACATTCCATTCTAATTCCTTTAAAGTCGAACTCTTTTAAAAAAATTCATTCCATCCAAAAACATTCTGTAAACCAAATACCACCTAAGGTTAATTTAATTTTCGTTTTTATTTATATTATTTATAATGGTTAATTAAAATCATCATTTAATATAGATATTTTCTAAAATTTGTATTTCATTATATAAATCCAATTTTTTATTATATATATTAAAATCATCGTTTAATGTAGATATTTCAAAATTTGCATTTAATTATACAAATCCAAAATTTTAATTATATATATATATATAGAGAGAGAGAGAGAGAAGCGATCAAATGAAAATCATCCTCATTTGTACAAACCGTACAAACCATCCTCATACGTCGATTTCATTGTTTAATCTTATGAAAAAAAATTCATGAAATTGTTTAATCTTGTGAAATTGTTTCATATAATACTTTTTTTTGATGAATTTGTTTCATATATGGTTATGAAATTGTTTCATATAATATTTAATGAAACTGTTTCATGTATTTCTCTAAAATTAAAATAATGAAGATAATAATATCAATGATTAACACCGTTCACAATAAAAATGGTTAATCAACCTCTCATAATTACAAAAAAAATAAACAAAATAAAAAATTATGATTGGTGGAATAAAGTTTTCACAGTTTTTACAAATTGAGTGGTTTTTATTTGAACGGTTCTCTATATAGATATGTATATAAATCAAATTATATCTATTAATTACCAGTGCTAACACCATTCGAGCCTGCACCCAGCTCGAAGAGGCAGAGATTGGAGATACAATGATTGGAGTGCAGTGACCATACTCGAGATAGATATGAAAACCCACGGTAGCCAAGAATAGGTGCAACAAGGAATCATGGGAATTACGAGAAACATATTGTATTACTTAATTTTTTTATCATTTGGTTTGTATTAATTAACATATTATATTAATAGTAAATTGTTTTAAATATACTATGAAATGTTATAGTCTATTGATTCTTAAATATGTTATTTTTTGTCATTTTACAATTTTCAACTAATTTATCAGCTAGTTTTTATCAAACATATCTAGTTCATCAACTAATTTACCAGATATCTCTTATGTACCTTTTAAATTAAATATTAAGATATGCAAAAAAATAGTGTTAAAAGATAATTACGGTTAACAAAGCATTTTAAGAGACAGTTATTGATAGGACCTATTCATAAAGACAACAAAATCACATGTACCCAATCTATAGAAAAGGTTCAAAGTACCTAAAATTTTATGTAATTTGCTTTTTATTTTCCATTTTATCTATACTGTATTATAATCATTTAAAAAAACCTTTTAAAAACTATTTTTTATACATGAAGTATTGTTTATCAATGCATATTACTTAAAATTTAAGAGAGTACAACTTATTAAAGCTCTAATTTTGAATTCGTATAATTAACTGCAGTTAGACATAATCAAATACAAGATAAATATCATTTTTTAAATATAAAAAATCTAAAATATAATTAAAATAATCATTGAGTTCTAACAGAATCGTTATATTTATAAAATGTATATTGTTAAGTAAAAAATAAATTACTTCGTTATTATATCTAAATTAAATTATAATATAAATTTGAATTAAAATATAAAACGAGAACTTTTAAATAGTTGATTTGATATTAAATAGTTAAATATTTTGCTAATTCAAATAACCGAAAGATACAAACATAATTTTTTAAGTGTTTAGAATGCTATATCTTAATAATCGTTATGTTTTTCCTAGTTTTTAGCATTCAGATCAAATCGGGTGAATGTATTCATAATAATCGATTTGTTTTCTAGTTTTAAAAATGGCTGAATGTATTCATATTAACAAAGTTCTGTTTGGTTATTATTTAGTTTAACAAAAAGTTGTATTTTCTCAATCGATCTTAGTTTTTGAATTTCAAACATATTTTTTATCGTTATTTACTGATCTGGTGACATTCGATGACGTGAAAGCCACATAATCAATTATAATGTCAAGCTTATTACGTAGATTTCCAACTTAATAGTTCCTTTTTATTATTTTTTTAGTTTATTAAAACTAGTTGTGTACTCGTGCAATACAGGAGGAGCTATCTGAAGAACGTTGGTCGTGGAGCGTAACTGAAGAACGTTATCTTGTTTTATGAGATGCATGTTGGATGATCCGTTTTTTGCTTCTTTGGTTTTATTTTCTATTTTTTTTTTTGTCGTGGGGATGGAGTATGATAATTACGACTGAGATGATTGTGACACCTTGTTTTTTCCTTACTGTATGTATTTGCACTACTTTTCTGTATACCATAATGCATCAAACTGACAACAATCCTACAAGAAATTACGAATTTGAAAGTAGAGTCCTTACGAAATTATGCATTTGATTTGAACATACCCTATGGTTTACAATTCATTCTATTTTAGTCTCTCATACTTCAAAGTAGTGTTTAACCTCAGAGATGAAAATAAAAATGAATTACAAACCATTAAAACGAAACTACAGGGATGAAATCCGCTATTTGTAACAAACCACAAGGACAAAAAAATGTAATTTACCCTTATATTTGCTTTTTGTACCATTGCCCTTTGACTCTTGAGCTTCTAAAAATTTAAAAGAGTAACTACTTATTTGTTAAAAACTGTAATTTTCGTTCTTGTGGTTGAAAAATTATGGTTTTTATTCTTTGTTATTTATAATTTATTGTTGTTTCAGTTGCTGTGATTTATAATTCTATACTATTTTAGTTCTTTGTACTTAAAGGTAAGAATTTAGTCTAGGGACGAAATTAGTAATAAAGTAAAAAGTATATGGATGAAAATTGGAATTCCTAAACCACAAGGCCTAAGATGGAATTATTAACAAATCATATGGACCAAAATCATAATTTACTCAATTTAAAATCTTAAGTAAACTATAATTTTCGTTCATGTGGTTTGGTGTTTACAACGACTTAGTCCCTATGGTTTCAAAATTGCTTTTTTCGTCCCACAAACTAACTTTGAAAAAAATTGGTTAAATAAGGGACATTTTGATCTTTTTACCATTTTTCTGAATTTTCATTAAAAATTAAATAACAGTATATAATGTCATATTTTACATTTATTTTAATATTATATCTAAAATATATATGTAATTATGTATTGGAATATACACACAACAACAACAACAACAACTATCATCCTCACCGCATCATAATCACCATCGGCCTATTTCCATCCCACAACCACCAAGCAAGGACTCTCCTTCGTCAACATCATCCTCCCTTCTCCCCTCCATATCTGTAACACCAACACCAGGTCCATGTCCAACAATTTCCATACATTAAGTTAAAATTTGAGGTTATGAGTTCAAGAACAAAACAAACCACCATCCATTTGTTTATCTGGTACGATGTTGATGTGGTCTTTGGGTGGCGGTAGGGGAAGAACACAAGTCAAGAGAGAGTGAATAGAGGGAGAGAGAAGACAGTGTTGCAAGGAGATTCGATGAGAGGGAGCCTTGGGGAGGAGATCAGTGGTACACGACGATGAAAAAAAGAACCAACGATGGGGAAGCCATTAGTTGTTCAAAATATTCTTTAAAGGGAATTGGATCTCGTCATTACGAGAGTCAGGGTCGAAGACCGAGAAGGGAAAGGGAAAGCAGAGGCTCGAAGCTCTGTTTTGGATAAGAATTACCCAAAAAAAACGGGAGGAAGGAATAAATATAGGCATTGGTTGAGGAAGAAGATCGATTTTTTTTTTTTTTTTTGTGTTTGGTTAGATTTTGTTTTTATTTTTTCATAAATCTTCTAATGAATTATATACATTTGTATCCAAACCTCAATAACATGTGCAATATTATATAACACAATTAAATATAAAAATTAATTAAAAATAGATAAAAAGACTATATTACCCCTCAACTTAATGGAACTCTTTAACTTTATTGAAATGAGGACAAAAACGAAATGAGATGCAAACCACTGGGGAAAAAAACAAATTTAAACCACATTGAGGGTAAGAATTGCAAGTTGTCTCAAACCTCGGGGTTAGTAATGAATTTAATGGCGGCCGTGTAGAAATTGGAATTATTTTCTGCTCCACTGGGCCACTGTAAGACTGTAACATACAACGTAGACCGCTGTTTAACGTGTGGAAAACTGACGCCAAGTCAATGGTCTTCCGTCAACGCACCCAAACAACCACGACAGCTTTAAATATCACCCAACTAACATTTATAGAATATCAGACCACCAGCGCCTCCACTGCCGGCGCCACCACCACAACCATCATGTCTACCTCTGATCCCCTTCTTCTCCTCCTCCTTCCCTTGCTCTTTCTTCTCTTCGCTTCTCAACCCTCCTACGCCCAAAACCGAAGCCGAACCTCTGATTTCCCATGGAGTCCGACGGAAAACAGAATTCTCCTTTCAAACAGATCAGTCTTCGTCGCCGGATTCCTTCCTTTATCCAACTCCACCGACCGATTCATCTTCTCCGTGTACTACTTCAACACCTCCGGCTCCGAACGGACGGTAATCTGGTCGGTCAACGGTGATTCTCCGGTCAACATATCAACTCCTCTCTTAATCACCGCATCTGGTGAGCTCCGCCTCGGTGAAATCCCGTTTCCTGGAGATCCGAAATCATCCAACAGCACCACACCTCTGCTCGAGCTCGGCGATAATGGAGAATTGTCTTTTGGAAGCTGGAGTAGTTTTTTGTACCCGACAAATACGATTGTTCCGAACCAAAATATCAGCGGAACAAGAGCACTGTCGGTGAGAGGTGGAACTTTCCTATTTGATGGAAAACAATTGGTTTTTAACAGTACTTACGATAATCAATCCCAGTATTATGAAAACTCTAACAAGTTTCGACTCCTCACTGATCTCGGGATGGTTCAACAAGAGAATAGTGCTACGTTTATCACCTCCGACTACGGTGACCAGGCGTTGAGAAGATTAACGCTCGACGATAATGGCAATCTCAGGATTTACAGCTTAGATTCAAGCTCCCGTCAATGGAAAGTAGTTTGGCAGGCGGTGGCGGAGTTATGTAGAATCAAGGGGACTTGTGGTCGGAATTCTATATGTAGGTACGGTGAGGACTACGATTCTACGGTCTGTGATTGCCCACCGGGATTCCAGAAAAACTCCGGCACCGGTGATGAATGCCGGAGAAAAGTTGGTCTGGGGAAAGATACCAAGTTTTTGCAGCTGGATTATGTGAATTTCAGTGGCGGGTCAGGTCAAGGGGACGAATGGTCTATCAAGGCCTTGAACTTTACAATGTGTCAAAGAGAGTGCTTGAATGACCCGGGATGCTTCGGATTCGGGTACAAATACGACGGGCAGCAGTTTTGTGTTCTTGTGAAGAAGTTATATTACGGGATATGGTCGCCGGCGACCGAAGCTGCCTTTTTTCTCCGTGTTGATCAGTCCGAACGTGATGTTACGAATTTCACGGGCTTGACCAGCGTTCTCGAGACAACATGCCCGGTTCGGGTTAGCCTCCCGCTGCCACCGGAAGAGTCGAAGTCCACCACCCGAAACATTGCGATTATATCGACTCTGTTTGCAGCCGAGTTGATTAGTGGTGTGGCATTCTTTTGGGCTTTTCTCAAGAAATACGTGAAATATCGAGATATGGCTCGAACGTTTGGGCTCGAGTTCTTGCCTGCTGGTGGGCCGAAGCGGTTTAGTTATGCCGAGCTTAAAACGGCTACCAACGATTTCTCGACCACAAATGTTGTTGGGAAGGGCGGGTTCGGGGATGTTTATAAAGGAGTGTTGACCGATCATAGGATAGTTGCAGTTAAGTGCTTGAAAAACGTAACAGGCGGCGATAACGAGTTTTGGGCCGAGGTCACTATTATCGCTAGAATGCACCATCTCAATTTGGTCCGATTGTGGGGATTTTGCGCCGAAAAGGGTCAAAGAATCCTCGTTTACGAGTATGTGCCAAACGGATCGCTCGACAAGTTTCTGTTCCATTCGGGTAAGGTCGAGTACACAAATGACGACCAAGATGTTGAAGAGAGTCGATTACTGGAGCGAAAGCCAATACTCGATTGGGGTATTAGGTACCGTATCGCTCTTGGAGTTGCACGGGCGATCGCATATTTACACGAAGAGTGCCTTGAATGGGTCCTACACTGCGACATCAAACCCGAAAACATACTTCTAGGAGCCGATTTTTGCCCGAAGATATCGGACTTTGGGTTGTCGAAACTAAGGAAGAAAGAGGACATGGTTAGCTACTCGAGAATGCGTGGAACCCGTGGGTACATGGCCCCCGAATGGGTAAAAAGCGATCAAATCACCCCGAAGGCGGATGTTTACAGCTTCGGAATGGTTTTGTTGGAAATGGTAACCGGGGTACGTAATTTCGACATCCAAGGCTCGAAAATGGATAGCGAAGATTGGTATTTTCCGCGATGGGCGTTCGAGAAGGTGTACAAGGAAATGAACATAGAAGACATTTTGGACAACCAGATAAAGGCATCGTATGATAGTCGAATGCACGAGGAAATGATCACACGGATGGTGAAGACGGCCATATGGTGCCTCCAAGATCGGCCGGAGATGAGACCGTCGATGGGGAAGGTGGCCAAGATGTTGGAAGGAACGGTGGAGATCATCGAGCCTAAAAAACCAACCATATTCTTCTTGGGGGATGAGTCGTAGAGGATTATGTGCATCTATCTAATTGTTTAGACTTGCACGTCACATGTTGTGAATGTGAAATAAATGTTAGTGTAGTCTTTTTAACAATTTGGATATTTTAATTACTAAACATCTTTGGAAAAGTCTAAAAAAAACTCAATAGATTTTAGTGTTTGAAATGATTAAGTTTTTAGACAATTTTTTGGAACAAATAAGTCCTTGGACATTCCAAAACTTATTAAATAACCCACTGGACATTTCAAAACTTGTTAGATACATCTTTATGACTTATATAACTGGTTAATGTAGTAAAATAATAGAAAAAAAAAACCAATAGACTTTCATATTTTGAACAATCAAGTCCCTAAACATTTTTTAAACCAAAAAAGTTCTCACATCTATAAAAAGAGCGTTTGTTTTATTCAAAGCTTTATCGTTACATTTCAACGAAGGAAACAAAGGGAAAAATATATTGTATAGGAGTACGTTTGTTTTTTCAAAATTACCTTTAAATACTTTTGAAATTTAATTTGTTCAGACGTTTGGATGTTTAAGAGCGTTTGTTTTATTTTTAAAATAAGAGATTAAAAGTTTTAAATAACCTCTGAAATTTTAAGTGGTAAAAAATATTCCTTAATACCTCTTAATCCTAATCCGTCCTCTATCAAACGGTTCATGTTTTGGGGATGAAAGAGATTTATTAGAAAAAAAACTAGTTATCTTTTATACTTTTGTAAAAAACTATTTATCTTTTATATTTTTGCACTATTTTGACTGATTCTGATTCTAGACTTCAAACATAAAACTGAACAATCTTACTGTACCAGATTTCAGACTTCAGGGCAACATCTTATAAATTAGAAGTGAAAACAAACTTTAAACTTCAACACCTCTTAAAAAACAAACGGTACCTAGGTGTAAACCTCTTAACCCATCTTTGATATAGTTATTTATGTATTTGGATTTTTTTCAATTAGTAGACATCTTTGTTGTATTATATAATAGAGTTACAAAATCCTCCTAATTTATACAAAGAGATAATCAATTGCAATCATCCATTAAGGTTAATTAATATACAGTTTCATAAATATGTTGATTGTCTCTTGAATTATAATCATCTTTCATAAATATCTTAATTATAATAAATGAACACTAAGGTGATGTTTTTTTTTAAGAGATGCCGAAGCTTGAAGTTTTATTTCATTTTTTTTTGATAAAAAATGGTGTTGAATTCCAAAATCTGAATCAATAAGACTCTTTGTTTTTGTAAACTGATATATATATATATATATATATATATATATATATGAATTTGTTTAACTTGTCTATTTTACCCATTAGAAGATTATAATGTTGAATTTATAAATAAATTTATACAATTTCACACACGTATTCATAAATTTACATCTAAATTATATAATTAGCATTCGTTTATACAAAATGTGCCATTAATGATATTTAACACATTTAAATCATATTAAAGTTATCAATTGAGAGAGGTGATGATCGATTTGGTAGTGATCGATTAACGTTAATCGATTGAGAAACGCCGTTTCTTTTAGGATTTAGAGAACAATAAAAGGGAAATAAGAAGTTGGTTTAAGAGGACAATAAGACATAAAAACATCTCCAACGATCTGACATATTTATCTTTTTGTTGGTCAAACCACTCCAATCGGATGACATATCCATTTTTTTGCCGCCCACTTTATTTGAACGGTATATTTATCGTGTAAATTTTAAACAACATATTGGTTAGAACTGACAATGGGTAGGGTAAAGGTTAATTTGTTTTTCAATCCATTTAAAATAACAGGTAATGCAACGGATAATTATCCATGTTATAAACTCTTATCGATATCCATCCTTCCGGCCTACCCACTAAGATAGTGGGTAACGAAACGGGTAATTGATAAATGGTAAAAAAAAATTATTTTAAACTACAATAATATTGTTAAACATCAACATATAAGTAAAATATAATTTTTAATTTATATCTAATTTGATTCTAATAAACATTGTGATATTGTATTAAATATGTTATAATGTTATATTTCATACAACGATATAAAAATCTAAAGACAACATGTATGTTTGTTATATTTATTTTAGCGACCCATATTGATTTTTATTTGATTATCCTAGTTAACTCTTTTAGTTAATGAATATGAAAAGAAAATTAAATACTAATTAATATACGTTATTCAACATATAAAATAACATTCTAAGAAATATATTGATACTTAACTTTATATAATTATATGTATGTATGCGTGTGTGTGTGTGTGTGTGTGTGTGTATATATATATATATATATATATATATAGACTTGGGTTCATGTGAGACCAATGGTTTTTCGTGAGACCCGTAAGACCAATTCTCAACCCTTGGATTAGATTTACAATCGTCAGATCTGAACATTTATAAACGCCATGAGACTTCTCACTAATTACGAAATTGCCACCTTGCAACTTTGCAACTTTGCAACCATTAGATCATTAATTCATAAATTTGATCAATGAACATAAATTGGTCTTACGGGTCTCACGAAAAACCTTTGGTCTTACGTGAACCCAACCCTATATATATATATATATATATA